AAAGCACATGACCCACACGGAGGAGCTTTTTACAGAGCATGCCTTTGTCATTTCCCAKTTCACCAGCAATGATGGTCTGGAGAGACAGAGGGGCATTGATGGTGGGTGAAGTGGCTCACCAGTCCAAGAAGTACCAAGTCAATCTCTCTTCCTTGCTTGTATTGGTTGTGGAGAAACTCTCCTGGGAGTTTGGCTTGGTTTGAAAGACAGAGGTTTGCCAATGAAGGTGGGGACCTCCCTTGGAGCAGTGAAYACAACTCCCCCTTTCCTTCTGAATTATTATAACTTTGAAATCAAGGGGCTTTCAGGTGAAAATATGGGAAAAAGGGAAAAACAGGGATTTTTTTCATAGTTTATATAATAAGGTAAACAAGCAACAACAGCTTAGACTGACAAGGTCAGAATACAACCTGATGCTGTGTTGGGCAGGGTGGTGACTGCAGTCCCATTGGGGTGATGGGTGTGGTCTGGTTCAATGTTCAATGTTCAATGTTCAATGTTCAATGTTCAGTGGTGGTGCAGCCCCGTTGCAGTGATGGATGTGCTCTGTTCAATGTTCAATGTTCAGTGTTCAATGATGCTGCAGCCCCATTGCAGTGATGGATGTGCTCTGGTTCAGTGTTCAATGGTGCTGCAGCCCCGTTGCAGTGATGGATGTTCAATGTTCAATGTTCAATGTTCGATGTTCAATGTTCAATGTTCAATGGTGCTGCAGCCCCGTTGCAGTGATGGATGTGCTCTGGTCAATGTTCAATGTTCAATGTTCAATGTTCAATGGTGCTGCAGCCCCGTTGCAGTGATGGATGTGCTCTGTTCAATGTTCAATGGTGCTGCAGCCCCGTTGCAGTGATGGATGTGCTCTCGTCCAAGCGTTGATCCTGCACTCAGGTCGAGTCCATCTCTGCAGGTCCAGGGCTGGTTCTGGAGCTCCTCTCCTCTGGGAATGCAGTGGGAGAAGTGTCCCAGTATCCCAGAGCCTCAGTTTATGTGCCAGTAGGGATGTCCAGTTCCTCCTCTCTGGGTGGGGCATCTCCCAATGGTATGATGGAATTCCAGGGGTCATTCCCAGAGCCCTGGATGGCTCATGAGCAGAGATGGTCCCCAGAGGTGTTATCAGGACTGGGTCATGGTGAGGATAAAGAGCTCTGCCCCTCCTGGTTTAACAGCTCATGGAGATGGTGATAGAACACAGACTGCTTTGGTTACACCTTCCATGGAACTTCAAACATAGTTCCAGCAGTTCGGCATCCCAGCAGTCCAGAGGAACGTCCTGTCCCCATCTATCTGGACCAGACTCCCAGCTATCAACAGGAATCCCTTCCTCCTCA